TATGATAGTGTCTAAGTGAAAAGATAAAATAACGATAAAAAATAAATGTTTCTATGAGAACTAATTAAGCCAACAAATCAGCGAATAATGAGAGAATAAAGTGAATATTAGGGTGTGTAAGCAGGAGGATAAGTGATAGGGAGAAAAGCAAAAAATGGTTGGGAGGGTTAGATGATGAAGCAGCTTATCTCGCCTGCGAATTTTCCCTAAGAGAACGCAAAATAGATGATCCGCCACCGGTAGAAGAACCGGAGCTGCCAGGTGCCAATGAGCTGCGAGTCAGCTTGTCCAGTTTTCTCTGTAGGCTAGTATTCTCAGATCTCAGATCCTCCAGATCATTGAGTGCTTTACGAAGCTGCAGAATAGATAAGAAAAAAATTAAGCGTAAAGAAGTGACGTCAGAACAAGAAGAATGCATAAAATGTAAAGTCTAGGGGAAAAGTGATAATATTATATGGATTATGATGTAATTACATGTTGATAGAATCTAGTGTTTTGTTGTACGGCATTTCAGAGAATAAGACTTAGGCATCACATCCTAAACCAAAAACGAGTGAATTAATAAAAAAGCTACTCAATTTAGTAATAATCTAATCTATTACCATCTAATCATGGTGAGTGTGGCTGACTTAATATCAAGAGCTCACCTCACGTTGGGACTTCCGTTCTGCCTTCTTTAATTCGTCCTCCTGTTTCTCACATGTGTCTGCAATGGCTTTATATCGTTTCACCTGACCCTCAAGGCGAATGATCTGATGAAAAGTGAACGAATATTAAGCGGTGGAAAGTTTAGGCATGAATCAGCAATTAAGCAGAATTGGTAAATGAAAATTTATAATAGCAAAAGTAGATCAGGCGGTTAGGATAAATTGATAAACATACAACTGCGGGTAAGGCAAAATAAAATTAGAACCTGTAAAAGCAATAAGAAAAATAAAAATACAGATTAAATTAGTTCCAAGTAGAAGGCTAGTAAATCCAAGCGAGCCTCAATTATTAGCATAACCAGCTTTTGTGAAACAATGTTTAGCGCACGCGTATACCAAGAACGATATATTCATCTCTC